ATAAGTTTTTTTTGATTAGTGTTAACACAACACAGCTTTTCCTATCCTTTTAACCTATTTGAGTCTTTAGATTTCATGCAGGTTTTCTTTTAGACCATATAGGTGGATTTTGCTTTTTATCTAAATTAGGCAATTTCTGACTTTTCATGGGGGAGTGTTTAGACCATTTGTTTATATTATTTTTATATTTTAGAGTTTAAATCTATCAGCTTTCTATTTGTTTTCTATTTGTCCTATCTGTTCTACATTTCCTTCTGCCTGTTTTTGGACTAATTGATTTTTTTTCCATTTCATCATCTTTCGTATCCTACTAGTTGTAATTCTTTTAAAAAATTGTAATGATCGCTTTAGCATATATAGTACACAGGTAGTTTCCTAAGGCTATCTTTAGAAAGTACCACAAACTGGGTGGCTTAAAACAACAAATTTATTCTCTCACTGTTCTGGAGGCTGTAAGTCTGTAATTAATGTATTGGCATGGTTGGTTTCTATTGGAGGCCCCGAAGGAGAATCTGTTCGATCCTTCTCTTTTAGCATCTGGTAGTTGCCTGCAATCCCTGGTGTCCGTTGGTTTATAGATGTGTCATTCCAATCCTTGCTTTTGTACTCACATGGTATCCCCTCTTATGTATTTGTGGCTTTATGTGGACATTTTCCCTCTCTGTTGTGTTTGTGTACTCAAATTTACCTAGTATTATAAAGACATCAGTCATTGGATAAAGTTCATCCTAATCCAATATACTGCATCTTAACTTGATTACATTTGCAAACACCCTGTTTCCAAGTAAGGACATATTCACAGGTACAGAGCTTAGGATTTGAACATATGTTTTGAAGGGGCCAATTCAACCCCCACAAGAGTATCTTTATCATGATCTACTTTCAAGTAATATTATGTCACTTTATGTATAGTATTAGAATTTTATACCTTCATGTCTTCCCTCCTAGTCTTTGAGTTATTGTCATACATTTACTTCTACTGGTTATAAACCACATAATATAAAGTCATTTGTTTTTGAAACAAGTTTTTAAAATAAGGACAATTTATATTTACCCACAGATTTGCCACTTCTAGTGTTCCTCATTTTTCTAGATTTCCATCTGATATCGTTTTCCTTCTATTTGAAATACTTCTTCAAGATTTCTTAGAATGCAAGCCTTCTGGTGATTCATTATTTCACACTGTGTAAGTCTAAAACAGTATTTGGTTGCAGGATTTTTCTGTTGTTGTAGTAAAAGCACATAACATTACATTTACCATCTTAACCATTTTTAACTGTGCAGTTCAGTAGCGTTAAATATATTCACATTGTTATGCAACAGATCTCTAGAACTGTTTCATCTTGCAACGCTGAAACTCTATACCCACTAAATACTAATTCCTCCTTCCCATTTCTCCCAGCCTTTGGTAACCATCTTTCTACTGTATTTCTATAACTTTGACTACTTTAGGTACCTTGTATGAGTGGCATTACACAGTATTTGTCCTTTTGTGACTGCTTATTTTGCTTATTTCACTTTGTGTAATGTCCTCAAGTTTCACTTATGTTGTAGCATGTAGAAAGATTTCCTTCTTAATGCTGCATAATATTTTGTTGTATTATACCACATTTTCTTTATTAATCTATTGAAGGACATTTGAGTTGCTTCCGCCTGTTGGCTATTGTGAATAATGTGCACAGGTCTCTTCAAGATCTTGTTCTGAATTGGATATATATCCAGAAGTGAGAATGCTGTACTGCATGGTGTTTTCCTTTAATTTTTTGAGGAACCACCATACTGTTTTCCATAATGGCAACATTCACAACACAGTGCACAAGGTTTCTAACTTCTTATTTTCTGTTTTTTGGATAGTGGCCATCCTGATGGGTGTGAGGTGATGGTTTTGATTTGCATTTCCCTAATGGTTAGTGATGCTGGTGTCTTTTTATATGCTTAGTGGCCATTTGTATATCTCTTTTTTGAGAAATGTTTATTCAAGTCCTTTGCTCATTTTTGAAGTCAAGTTATTTGGTTTTTGTTGTTCAGTTGTAGAAGTTCCTTGTATATTCTGAATACTAACCACTTATCAGATGTACGACTTGCAATTATTTTCTTCCATTCTTTTGGTTTCCTTTTCATGCTGTTTTTTATTTTGACACACACAAGTTTTTCAGTGTGATGTAGTCCCAATTTGCTTGTTTTTGATTTTGCTACTCGTGCTTTTGATGTCGTATCCAAGAAATAGCTGCCAAATCCAATGTCCTGAACAATTTCCCCCAAGCTTTCTTGTGGTAGTTTTGTAGTTTGCTTTGTCTTTGGGTTCACTAATCTTTTCTTCTGCAATGTCTAATCTTGGGGAGACTTTGGAGTGGATTTCTTTGTTCCTGTAGTGAAGCTGGTGGGGTTTAGGGCTACCAAGATTCAATTATTCATGTTTATTAATGTTAGTTTGCCTGTTTTTTAGAATGATGAAGCTAGGGGAGTATGGGGTATGCATCTTTGGAAGACTCTTTTTTTGTTTTTTAATGAAGCTGAGGAAAGTCGGTGAACAAATTCTATGAAATTCAACCACATGTGTAAAATACTGTTTCTTCATTATTAGATTACTATTTAAACTTGAAAATTCAAAAACTGAATAGTTAATGCAAGATAAAACAATTGTACAAAAGCAGAGAGAAAATCAGTACACAATACAACCCAAGCAATGCAGTGCAATGCAATACCACCACAAAAGTGGGGAAAATCACATGGTGAAGGGAGTCAGGGGAAATGAAGAGGTAAGAGTGAAGGTAAGTTCTCATAAGAGGGAGCATATCTTAGTTATTACTGTACACCTATCAGGAAAAACAGACAATGTAAACACATTTATTGAGCAACTTCTACATGCCAGGTGTGGTATGGTATGGTTTTATGTACTTTACTCTTTAGAACCACAGTATAAAGCAGTTATTAGTATGTTTTAAAACACAGAAAGTTTACATAACTTGCTCAACCTGTAGTATTGAGTGTTGAATCAACATTAGCTGAATAAGTGAATACATGTTTATTCAAATGAAAGATATGTTGTGGATTATCTTTGGTGGACTTTTCTAATCTTCTCTACAGAAGTGCTAGACTGATAACTACAGACTAGGAAGAGGACCATAATACTTGATATGCAGCAATAGCAACAATAATTGCTGCTGCTATGGTCTAAATGTTTGTGCCCCTGAATTCATATTTTGAAATACTAACCCCAAGGTGATGGTATTAGGTGGTAAGGCCTTTGGGAAGTGATTAGGTCATGAGGACAGAGCCCCATGAATGAGGTTATTACCCTTATAAAAGAGGCTCCAGAGAGCTCTTTTGCCCCTTCCATCATCTGAGGACACAAGAAGGCATTACCTATGAATCAGAAAGCAGGCCCTCATCGGACACCAAATTGTAGCTTCCAGAAGTATGAGAAATAAATTTCTGTTGTTTATAAGTCACCCAGTCAATGCTACTTTGTTACAGTAGCCCAAGTGGATTAAGATAGCAGCTAATACATATAGACTTCCTATGAGTTGGGTACTGTTTTGATTTACATATATTAACTCATTTAATACAATACTTTGAGACTGAGTACAGTTTTTATTCCTCATTCTATAGATAAGGAGACTTAAGTGCAGAGAGATGAAGTAGTTTATTCAAGATTATCCTGTTAGTAAGTAATGAGGCCAGGATTTGAACCTTGAATGGAGCTCCAAGCTGTACTTCACACCTTCTGCACATGTTGCTTTTCTTCACTGGCTCACCTGGCTTCACCTTTGGGTTCAGGCCCAGAAGGTCAAGGTTTCCCTAATTTCTCTTTTCAGCCTCTTATAGTCACTTTGACAAGTAGTGCTTTCCTAAGCTAAAGGAAATATTGATTGCCTTGCCAACTTTTTTTTATTACAAAGACAATCTGAAGTCATGGAGTAAGGTACAAATCTATTTAGCTTTCTGGTGGTAGGAGAGGTGAACTTAAGTCAACCTTGTTATATTTCCAGGATTACCACATTTTAAATCTCAAAATGAATATGGTTAGGATATGGAGAATGAGATGTACAGTTCCATTCTGTAATTCTTCTCATCCATGTTCATTTTCTGAACTAAGATAAATGCGTAGCTCAGGGATGCCTTAGCAGACTCTAAAGAAACATGCTGTAAACTCTTTAGATTTTAAGCTTCTTTAGCGACAAGCACTGAATCTTTGTACCCTTGGGGCCTATCTCAATGCATGGCAGATAAGCACTCAATAAATATTCTTTCTTGGAAACAAGAACTGAAGGTTAAAAACAATTTCTTTGAACTATATAGTGAAGACAATTTGTAAATGAGAAGATAGTATCAATGCAGAGAAATGGGCTATGTTATTCCCATACCTTCCTTAAGAACTTCCAATTCCTCCTTCAAAATTTGGCTCAATTGTTACTTTTTTCCACCACAGCTTCCCCTTCTGCCTAGTTAACAAGCATACCCTCAGTGCCCTTACAGAATTATGTGTATACCTCTCAAATCCTCTCATAGTATATATTCATACTTCTTATCCTCCTCAATTGAGTTCCTTCCAGGTAAGGAATGTTCATTTTCTTTTTTTTGTTCATATGGAGTTCTGCTCTGTCGCCCAGGCTGGAGTGTAGTGGCGCGATATCAGCTTACTGCAGCCTCTGCCTCATGGGTTCAAGCAATTCTCCTGCCTCAGCCTCCCAAGTAACTGGGATTACAGGCATACACCATCATGCCCAGCTAATTTTTTTGTACTTTTAGTAGAGATGAGGTTTTGCCATGTTGGCCAGCTGGTCTCAAACTCCTGACCTCAGGTGATCCGTCCGCCCTGGTCTCCCAAAGTGCTGGAATTACAGGTGAGAGTCACCATGCCCAGTCAGAATGTTTATTATATTTAACACAGTGCCTGAGAAATAGCTCAATAAATGTTTGATGAATGAATGAATATATAGCTGCACAGATGAGACCTTGACGCCCAAACCCATTTCCGCATACAAAAAGGAAAGATGAAACTTCTATTATTGTATTTATTGATACTGAATATTTATTATCTGTTACATACCAGGCAAAATGGACACACCATCAGGAGATAAAACTTGTATCTTACATGTAAGATGAAACTTATATTTATTGATTGAATTATTGAATATTTTTTGAGTATTTGCTATACCAGGCAAAAGGCACAGAAACAAATTATCTGTTCACAGTTACTTTTAACTCTTTCAGCAATGCCTGAGTCCTCTTTATAAAAACTTCATTCTGCTAAGTTAGCAACCATTCATTTTTTTTGGTTACTCTTCATGTATAGTTTTCTCAAGTGTCCGTTCAAATACTGCATAATGGTGTAGACCATTTAATATTCCAAACATAGTCTGAAAGATTAGAGGAATCACCATTAATTTCATTTGTGTGTGACAAAGCCTCATCCAATGGAGTAAAACCCTTCCTTTTGGTGGCAGTGGAACGGTATGATACCTAAAAAGAAAAAAGAGTTAATCACTTCTTCTGGATATGAATGCTATTAGAAGTTTGTTGACTTCTCCTAAACTGGTAACTGCCTTTCTAGGTCTATAATGTAGAGAGCAAAAAAGTTAAAAGTTAGCTATCTGAAATACCAAATGACCACATTTTGATTCAAATATATCACAGACAGCTAAAGAAAAAAGAGAGTTTATTACCCTAAAAAAAAAAAAGTAAAAAAGAAGGAAAAGGAACAACTTACTTAGTTGCCAGACGTCCATTTTTAGTAAAAGCCAAAGAACTGGGATAGAAAACACCACAAACTATGCCAATCAGTGAGCTTCTGAAAACACAGTTTTCCTTGCTTATATTTTCTGGAAAACAAAAGTAAATTTGGTTTTCCTTTAAAACTCAAGAGCTATTAAGACAGTGTTGTACCTCAGAGTAGTTATCTGCACTATCCTCAACCACAACTAAACCATAGAAAGAATATCAGAAATTCAAACTCTGTGGCATATAACAGGCTAAATGCAGCACATTTAAAAAAGGTTTTATTGTACTTTATCACATAGAGAATTACCTCTAACATATGTGGTTGTTGTAGAAGCTATTTTATTTTTTGGAGACAGAGTCTCACTGTGTTGCCCAGGCTAGAGTACACTGGCACGATCTCGGCTTACTGCAACCTCTGCCTCCAGGGTTCAAGCAATTCTCATGCCTCAGCCTCCCAAGTAGCTGGGATTATAGGCGTGCACCACCACGTCCAACTGGTTTTCTATTTTTAGTAGAGACTGTGTTGGCCAAACTGGTCTCTAATTCCTGACCTCAAGTGATCTGCCTGCCTTGGCCTCCCAAAGTGTTGGGATTACAGGCATGAGCCACCATGCCAAGCCAGAAGCAATTTTATAATGACAGAATACTAAACTAGCAGACCAGACCTGGATTCTAGGTTAATACATTTTTATTATCTACTATGTATCAGGAATGTGCTAGGTGCTAGGAATACAGTGGTATATAAAAGACACCTGATCTCTGACGTTCTGGCCAGTTTACAGGAATGAAAGACATGAGATAAATATTTAAATAGATAATTATAAGTGTACACAATACTTTGAAGATAAACTATATAGAGAATGTATCTAAACACCTAATGTGCAATGAGGGAATCAGAGGTCTCCCTGGGGAAAAGATACTTAAGCAGGGACCTGAAGAATGAATGATGGATAGAGGCTCTATCAATTACTAGTTGTGAAACTCAAGGTAAGATGAAGGGCAGGAAATAACATTAAAAGCCTATAATATGACAGATATTGTGGTAGTCATTTAACCTACAGTATCTTTTAATTCTCATAAAATCCTGTGAGGTGAGTACTATTAGTCCTAATTCATAGATAAGACAAGGGAGGCTCAGAGATGAAATTACTTGCTGAATGTCACAAAACTTAAGTGTCAGGAGGTAGGATACTGAAATGATGTGTGTTATATGCCACAGTCAATTCTTTTCCCAGTATGTTGTTTATTAGTGTACTTGAACATGCCTCAGTTTGGGTTGCTTGCTTATCTACAAAAAGAAAAAAATACGATTTACCTCATTAGGAGGATTGTTGCAGGGATTAAATACGACAAGGTATATGAAGGGACTTTGTAAACTGTATAGCACTATATAAATGTAAAGAATTATTATTAGCAGTAGCAACAGCATATGTTAATCAGTAACTTTACTTAGACAAAACTACATTATACATTAGTGAATTTAAATTCACCTGAATACAAAGGATCAATTACAAGAAGCTTGTAAGTAACTACAGTAGACAAAAATGGAAGTGTAGCCAATGATGCATATGTTTTCAAAGCATCGTGTTTAACCTTGAAGCAGCGTCTGAACAGGAAGTTTGAGAATATTCCAGAGAAACCAGCTGTTGTTCCAAATGACGTCGTTTGATATATATTTGGTGTCCTAATAGAAAAAAAGAAAAATTCAGTTCACTGTAACATTGAACTTAATGGATACAGCACACTGGCACGATCTCGGCTCACTGCAAGCTCCGCTTCTCGGGTTCACGCCATTCTCCTGGCTCAGCCTCCTGAGTAGCTGGGACTACAGGCACCCGCCACCGTGCCCGGCTAATTTTTTGTATTTTTTTAATAGAGACGGGGTTTCACTGTGGTCTCGATCTCCTGACCTTGTGATCCGCCCGCCTCGGCCTCCCAAAGTGCTGGGATTACAGGCGTGAGCCACCGCGCCCGGCATGAAATACTTCTTGAGCACTTACTATGTGAAAAGTATTTTCTAAGTGCTTAAGATAGGGCAGTAAACAAGGCAAAAGAAAAAAAGAAAAGGAAAGAAATTTCCCACCCCTCATAGAACTTGTCTTCCAATGAGAGGACATGATTCTCTTTCTGAGAATATTTACAGTAGTTCTAAAATAGAGCTCTTTTAAATAATTTTGGTCACAAATAAATATAAATATGCTCCAATGTAGCCAAATTTTATGAGTTACCCAAATCGAAGAATACCTTTCCTGCAACTAAAAGATTTACTTTGCTTAAGTTCATCTAAAAAAAAGCTATTTACATTTGGTTAGGCCTTCTATTTCTGCATTAGTCCCAGATACATTTAAAATAATTTGTCCAAGATTTAGAAAATTTCATCCAAAAAAATCTGATCTAGTTTTCTTATTAAGACCCATACCTAAATCCAGGAAATAAGATCAACTGTCCTTTGGTTTTATTCTTGAACTCCATTCATTTAAAAGTCAAAATGGCCAGTCTGGCCAACATGGTGAAACCATCTCTACTAAAAATACAAAAATTAGCTGGGTGTGGTGGTACACGCCTGTAATCTCAGCTACTTGGGAGGCTGAGGCAGGAGAATCACTTGAATCTGGGAGATGGAGATTACAGTGAGCCGAGATTGTGCCACTGCACTCCAGCCTGGGTGACAGAGTGAGACTCTATCTCAAAAAAAAAAAGTCAATATGTTAATGTGAGACTATATTTATACTATGAAATCTGTATTCCCTTTTGCTGTACTAAGTACTGTGGCTGAGATAATCAATCCTTAACTGATTATAATTACTCACCAATTAAATATAAGTACCCCCCCAATGATTTTCTCTTACTTTTAATTAAAATATATTTACTGCACAAATGTTTTAGCAATACTTTTGGATACTTTTTAAGAAACAAAAGAAATTATCCACAATCCCAAATATTCCAACAAACCACTATTTTCATCTGTTCTTGTTTCCCTCATTCTTTTTTTTAAGGATGTGTTCTTCATAACCAACTCAAAGAATAGGATAACAAAGAATAGGATCTCAGAAACAATGGCAATACAAAAGACTTGCAAATAAAATGATTTTCAGCCTGGGTATTTCTCTTACATTTCTTTTCTAAGATAGTCAAAATTTTTTTCTATGATTTCTATGATCATTGGTCTTCTGAGTTTTGCATCTTCTAGAGAACGACTGGGTTGACCATGCATAGATGCTGTCATCTTGACATCCTGGAAAAAAAAATTCCAGAGCCGTAATAGCTAATGATATTCATATTACATAAAACCTTACAGAATTCTACAGATTCAGATTTGAAAACATTTACAGTTTAGTAGTGTGCCAGGTACTGTGTCGTCTGCTTTCACATATTTTGTTAATAATTCAATCAACATGTACTGAGCTCTTATTATCTGTTAGACATTGGCTTTTTGTTATTATTTTTTATTTTCTTGCTAAACATCCTACAACACACAGACATTGGCTTTCTGATTCACACACTAACTTGAGAAATTGGTAGTATAATGATTATCTCTATACAGATGAGAAACTGAGGGTCTGAAAGGTTGGCTTGCTTAAGATTTAGTTTAGAGGGATAACATACTGATACTGTTTCTGTTTTCCTCTCTCCTCATTCTGAGAAGGCAGTCAGGCCCTTTGTAGTTGTCCTCCTAGCTCTTCAGGTGGGGAGGTGGAAACAATGGCTGCTTATTGACATCTCTATCCTCAGTTTCTCATGAAAGACTGAGTTCATTTTGGAAATCGTGTTTCATTTCCTAGAGGGGTAGGAGAGAGCAGGGATTGCCTTGGAGAACAGTGAGAGAGAAAAATCAGAAAGAGGGACACTGCTCCAGGAAGGGAACAGGCAGTAGATTGTGGCTACTACTTTGAAGTACATAAATTACATAACCAGTTCCCTATTACCACCTGTGGTGGAAGCAGAGCCTTTGCTAGAAATGATTATGTAGTATAGCAGAGACCCACACCTGCCACCACACCTGGCTAATTTTTGTATTTTTACTAGAGACGGGGTTTCACTATGTTAGCCAGGCTGGTCTCGAACTCCTGACCTCAAGTGATCTGCCTGCCTCGGCCTCCCAAAGTGCTGGGATTAAAGGCGTGAGCCACCGCGCCGGGCCCCAGAGACCCACAGCACTGGGCTCCTTGGTTGGAAGGTTCTTGTGTCCCAAGTGAGATGAACAGACAGCTGCCAATGTCAAGGGACCATGAAGACTTGGCCAGTAGCATCTTAACAGAAACTAGAGAGATTAAAAAACAAAACAAATCAACAACAACAAGAAAACAAACCCTGCACTCTCAGACAGGATCCTTTCTGAATGTTTTGCTCTGGGCAAGACTCTAGAGTTTCTGTGAAAAGTCTTAATAACATTTGTTAAATCCAAATATGTAGTTGCAAATGTTTACCTACTACAGCAGCCAAGTGGAAAGTCTATTGCCACTAAATTCACCGCTTTTTACTCTTTTTCCTCCAGATTAGCCAAATAGCCTCTTTACAAATGTACACTAATCTCAATTTTAACGTTTATATTGAAGGCAAATACTAAATCTCAAAGTTAAGGAGTCCTAGACAAGAGGATTAGAGGGGATAAAGCATAATGAACACACAAAATACTTCATAAATCAGTGGTTCTCAACCTTCAGCATGCACAAGAATCACATGGGGTATTTATTTGAAATGCAGTCTCATGAACTCCCTCCTGAGATATCTGGATTCAGCAGGAGTAGGATGAGGCCTAGAATCTGCATTTTAATAGCACCAAGTGCTTTTGATGCTGTAGTCAACGGACACATGTTGAATATTACCGTAATACTCATTTGCTGAATGAGCGGTATGTACCAATCCTAACTATAGAAGGGCCAGTTCATTATACACGGCTCCTGGCATCAACAAACGTAAGTTATGAGCTCCTTTGAACCTTCTTATGGCATTACACAATGAGTAATAATGGACCAATTTCTTTCTCTGCATCATCGCAGAATTGTACTCAATCTTTTTCTGTAACATTTCTGGAGAGGGCAGGGGGAAAAAAAAGTAAAATATTTTACAAATTACAATTTTTCAGTGACTAGACTTACATCTTTTTCCTCTCCTGGACACCCAAATGGAAAGTATAAGGGATAGTAACATCTAAGGGAGATTCTATACCTAACCCATCTATTGTACTAAGATGGCAGATGTCAATAACATGAGTAACCATAAACCTTACATAAATTTTTGTTTTGCTCTCATCCAATTCACTGAAGTCCTCCACCTTCCACCAAAAACAAAAAACAAAATAAACTTCCAGGCAATATCTTCTACTAATCTCCTACCTAGTCTACACCCTAAACTCTCTATAGGGAAAGCAGACACCCAGGATTATGATTACAGGATAGCAAATACTGAAATACTGAAAAGAACACAGGAAATATTATTGAGTGCTTAAGCTTTGCAAGGCACTGTCAAAGAATCGACTGCTTTCATTACACCCCTCCCCTCTTAAGGCCACTCAACTAGTCACCACGCTTATACCAGTAAGAGTGGCTTATAGTTTGCAAATCATTTAACGGTTTTGTAGTGCTTTCATGTGTATTATTTCACCTAATAATACATTTTTCACCTAATAATAAATTTCAACTTTAGAATTTTATTCAGTATTCTCTCATAATTTAGGGACCACCTGGTATATGCCAGGCCTCCGAGTAATCAAGATACAGTCATCCCATCCTCAGGAATCCACAATGTAGTGGGAGTTCAGAACAAAAAAGCTGGCAATTTAAACGTAGAATGAGAGAGTGACATAAACGAAAAACCCAACAACCTAAGAAACGGCAAACTTAATCTAGCCAGAGGAGGCGTGGGAAGGCTTCCCGGAGGAAGTGACATTTAAACCAATATCCGAAAGAGAACAATTTGGCAGGGGAGTTGGGACGGATAGAAGCAGGGAAATATTCCAAGTTGAAGAAAAAGCCTGTGCAAAGGCCTGGAGACAAGAGAAAACAAACCGCAGATAATGAGTACTAGAACTTAGGTAATCTACGTTCTCTCCGCCTCTTTCCACAACAGCTGGAGACTTAATCGACTACTCCTTGCATGGACTTGGGGGCTGTTTTAACTTTTCAAATCTCCTTTAAGTGTATCATCTTGGAAGACTCTGCCAACACTTTGAAGCTGCAGCAATCACCCCCCATACCACTTCGGATTTCCGCCTACCTTGGGCGCTTCCTCAGTTCCCACCCACACCACACCTGAATCCCTCAGCTTGGCCCCAGCCTCATGCCCGAACACCGCCATTTTGATGGCTCACGTGATTTGCTGGTGGGCGGGAAGTGGTGCGGGTTTACGGCTCCTGCCTCTCGCTTGCAGCCCGGGCCCGCCCCCCTCAGTCAAAAGCCGCGCCCTCCATCCTGTCTGTGATTGGGCGCGGTGTCTAGAAATTACGGCCACTTATTCGCTTAGAGGAGGTCCAGGTGCCTGTGGGTCCGCTCCCATCGCCAGCAGAGTATTTCCTTCCCTTGCTATTTGTCAGTTTAGCTCCCTGTTTTCCTCGCGTCTTGCGGGGAGGATGGGGCGGCCCAAATGTTGGAATGTTACTGCGCTCCTGCCTCTCCTCAGGGCACCTCTGGTAGCTGGGAACTAGCTGCCTGCCCCTTTCAGTCCTTGAGGGAACTCGCCCCTTTGCCCTGGCCCGTGTGGTGTTAAAGCTCTGTTTCTCGGGCACCTCCTCCTCCAAACCCCCAACCAGCCGCCCAGCGCCGTCAGAGCAGCCCCGACTAGCCGCCTCCCCTCTCAGCCGTCTGACTCCTCTCCCCAGGCTGTAGTCCCCTCAATTTCCATCCTTTAGCACCGCTTGGAAGGAGACCGGAGAGAAATTTGCCCACTACCCCCCGAGAAGACCCACTTGTCAGTCGTGTCTCAGGGTGGGGGGCACTGCAAGGCCTGGCGCTGTTTTGTGCACGTTAAATGCCCAGCAGTATCTCCCAGACCGGCAACCCCCGACCCTCCAGTCTCCATGTCTTAGAGAAGCCAAATTCGAGAGTTATATAATTTGTAGTGCTGCTGTTGCTCCTGCCTGAAGAAACACTTCATCGCGTGGAGGGTGCAGGACATTTCAGTGCTCTTCCCTAAAAGAACGGGGCTTGGGCAGGGGTGGTCAGCGGTGGCAGAGAAATGTCTTGTCTTTTCTGCAAAAGGAAGGTGGGTAGTTTGAAGAGAGATTGAGAGAAAAGGATGTGGATGTGAAAGCCAAGCAGCTGCACTTTTTCATTTTGAGGAAATCGCGGACCGTTTGCATAGCTTATGCTTACATGTCTAATACTACTACGGCGTCTCTGAAAACACCTTTGGGGGAAGGTTTGGCTTCTCTCGAAGTCTCAGTGTTTTTCCTCGCCGGATAGGGGGCTGCTTGGATGCGAAGAGATGGCATGATGTGAATGACTCCAGTGTGAAGAAATCTGCTTCGCCAACTCATCCTGCATCAAGTGCCCATTGAGTAGCACTGTCACTTTAATGTCTCCATGCCAAGGGATTGCTTTCCTTTTTTTTCAATCCTCTCTGTTAATACATGGGAGGATCAGAATCAGAGGTGCATTAAGGATCAAGCCTGGGGGCTTGGAGAGCACAGAAGAAAAAAATGAAAGTGACAGCAAGCTGGATTCTGAGTTACTGAGGGGGTGAGATCCGGAACTTCTGATCAGTAAATAGAAGGGGGCCTTTCGGTGTGTGTTCTGCCACAGAAAACTGTTCAAACTCACCTATCTTTTTAGAGACTGGAGTCAAAGAGGTTTTTAAAAGTATTTTTTGGGAGGTGGGGTTAAATTTTTCTCTACATATTTGAGGATCTTTTTCATCATGTTTCAGTTTGACCATGTATAAAGTAATGAGACAGCTGTCTAAATTTGGTTTGTGCCTTAAATGAGTTAGTCATTGAACTTCCAAAAATGTTGCTGCCTGAAGAGGAATTTCAGTAACGTTCTTCATGTTTACAATAATTTTCCCAGTTTGTAAAAACAGTCTAAATATTTTCTGAACATTGAAAAACTTGAAAAACTAAAAAATTACGTTTCTGTAAACTCTGTGGGCGGTGTAAAAAGTTTAGTTGTGGAAAAAGTACATCATTACTTTCTTTATCTGACATAGAAGACTCAGCCTGGATTTCAAAACTGAACAGTGAAGTGGTTTGCAACAGTTACCTGGCTCTTGGCCTCAATCCAGCTGGATCAAACTGAGACCTGAAAAGAGATCTTGAATTCTGTGGCAGTGGAAAGACCTAAGAATGCCAGTCAAGAAGAAAGGTGGGCTATGAGGTTGCTATATAATATTTCTGCCTTTTGTTGGTTCTGGTACTTGTAATTTAAACTATATTCCATTTGAGAGTAAAATTTTGCTTCAGTTTGGGGGAAATTTTTATTGTAATATAGTTTCAGTGGTACATAATTCAGTAATATTATCTTGCTAAAGTAAAAGGAAGTAAGACTATAGTATTTATTGATAGATATTTACGATTTCATACATCAGGTTGTTTATATCACCATTGGTAATAAGAATAGATTCAGTACCGCAGATTTGGAATCTTCTCTAGCTTGTTTTCTTAGCTTGTTAAAGGTTGCTTTTAAGCGGTCTTTAAAAAAACTTGTACAGTGGAGCTCTTCCTCATGGGTTTAATATTTATCAAGCTAATTACAGAGTTGTGAAAGGTAGCAAAGTAATTTCATTTGCACTGAACAAAATTATAGCTTTATAATTTATCTTTTGGTTAAAAATAATTTCTTATTTGGATTTATTCTAGTGTAAATCTTCACTTTTGTGATAAAGCACAACTTTCATGACTATTGTGCTTTTCCAGATATATGCATTATCCAATAACATGATTGTCAAGTTCCCCATATGGGGCAAACTCCTGTTTTTTTCTCCCTCCTCAACAACTTTTATTATTGGAATTGATCAAGATCTAGTGAATTACTGAAGCATAGTTGATTATAATCCGAACTTGGGGATTCAGTTTAGCTTAGATGCAGCCCAGGTTAACATTGTTCCAAAAGATCTTAGTTTGGGATTGTTTTTGTTTTGTTTTGTTTTGTTTTGACATGATATGGCAGGTGAGATCAGCTGTAAAGAGTTTCTCAAGAGTTTTGAATCAAAATTTATATGACATCCTTGAACTCTGCTATACTGGACTAAGGTAGATCCAAATGTTGTCAGTGACGTGAGTTGCTACAGTCTGAAACTAAAGCTCTGGGTGAATTGCAGGTTAAAGTGGAACTTATCTCTGCATGGTGTTTAATTCTTCTACCTGTGGATTTGTTAGGGATGTTGAGGAAAATTATAATCACTGAGATGCCTTATCCAAGCTGATATTTACCTAGAACTGTGATTTCTGCACACTGGGATTTAAGATTGAGATTGTTTCCTCCCCCTGCTGTTTCTAATAATACCACTGACAGAAGTAAACTCTCTATGAGATTTTGGAGCCACACCTGTCCAGACCAGACACAATTGGTTTATCGAGAACAAGAATGGTTTTGGGAGTGTAGCCAATAAACGATATGGCTCTTTGACATATTTAAGTTGATGTGTGTTTTTATTCTTTCTACCATTTCTCTAGACAGTTTCTTTTGGATTACCTTATTTTGAACTAATAATGGAATTAAACACATGTGTGTGTGTGTGTGTGTGTGTGAGAGAGAGAGAGGAAAAGAGTGAGAGGGAGACAGAATGGGAAGGAGGAGAGAGAGAGAAAGAGATAAACGGTATATAGGAAGGAGGAGGAGGAAGCTCAGTTGATATTCTAGATATAACTTAACTAAGCAGGTTTAGTTAGAAAGTTTAGGACTTAATGTTTCTAAACCCCATAAACTGAGTTTCTTAAAAGTTCTTCCCTTTAAAAAACTGTTACAGAAATTGCTGATACATTGCTGAAATTATAATACTTTAGAAGTATTCCTCTCCTCCTTTGCCTACTTCTTTCTCTCTTCCTTTGCCTCCCTCCTTCCCTTTCTTCTTTCCTTCTTCGATAAATTGACTGATGGATTGAATTTTTAAAGGAATCAACAAGTTCTAATTAGAAAAACAAATGTATATTTCTATGATACCAAAGTACATGTTATATAGTTTTCCTTATAAACTGATCTAGAGAAACAATGTATCTTGCTTTTAATCTCTTAAAACTGTTAGTATTATGATACATATTCTTGAATATTGTAGACAACTAGCCAAACAAGTTATAATGTGTGTGTTATATTTTTCATTGGCTATGCTTACTATCTCTACTGTTTACCTAATATAAGAACAGTATTTTTAAGTTTAACCTAGATTTATTCTGCAGGGATCACTGTCCTCTGTCACCTTGAGTCTTTTTCTCTCTTCATTGTTTCATGTGGTAGACATGATGAAAGAGCTAGACTTAATGTGATTCTAAACAATAACTATCCCCACTGAGCTAAGTGTTTATTCATTGTTGAACATATTCTCATTAAAGTGTGAAATTTTCATAAGATGGATTTTCATTTGGTATTTATTTAGTATATTGTTGTCAAAGAGAGAGGAGATTCTTTTATTGATACCATGCAACCATGGTGGGAATTGGGAATGGGCGTGACATCTCACTAAGCCCATTTCTAGGTGCCATTCTGGACTGCTCTTGGATAAACTGAAACTACTGTTCCTCAAACCCCATGTTAACTGCTCGTTTGCTTTATGACATTACTTTCTACTTCTCTCATTCTAGTCTCTTCACATTTTTACAGATCTCAGTTTTATCAACAGAAGGCTCTTCTGTTTCCCTGTTGGATATTTTTTTTTTCCTCAACAGTTGCTTTTCATTCAAGATTCTCTTATCTATAGTAGTAACTGGATTTGCTCCCAGGTGAGCCCTTGGGACAATCTTGAACATATTTTAATTTGTGAACATTTAGGACCAATTCAGGATAAGTTGTATTAGTATTCTCTGATATGATGCAAGACCATAGTGTGTTATAAGGGTCTGTTTTAACAAGTCTTCTTGAATTGATCTGATATGATTTCCTACTGAGTTAATGTAAGAAATAAAAGTTAATGATAGTTATGTAATTTCTTGTGTTTTACAGCAGAAAGTTGCTGTTTTAAGGATAAAAATGTGCTTTAATAGAATTTTCTAGTACAATGCAGCTTCCTTTTTGAATAGCTTTTTGTTCTCATTGTCATTAAATATGTGGAAAAAATCAATGCCTTTATTACTTTAAGATACATGTTCATTTCATTTCGGTGTTTTAAAAATTTGTCCCGTTACTGGGCGCAGTGGCTCACGCCTGTAATCCCAGCACTTTGGGAGGCC